ATCTGGTTTTTGGCTCTGTTTGTTTGAGTGGGTTTAATTTTAGACCTTAGACATTTGATGGATTTTCCGCTTGATTTGCATTTAAAAATAAAATTTCATTCTCCCTCCGAGTGTATGTTGTTGTCTTTGGTCCATTGTCTTTCGGCATGTCGGGCATGGAGCGTGTGTCCAAATATTCAGATCTGTCAACGAAAACCGTGACACGTACGGAAGAAACTCCCCCTTACGCCAACGCCCAACTGCCTGTTGCTGCGGTCTTCCAAAAATTCCTGCTGTGGGGTTTTGCCTCTGACGTAGATTAGCTGAGTTAATAATAACTATCTTTTAAGTACAAGTACACTCACTTATGCATTCTCCTCGCGTATCTACCATACCATACATACATAAATATGTACATATGTGCGAGAGATCAATTCTATTTAAATTCTAGTCTAATTAGTTGAGGCAAAAACCATCCATCAATGCGTGTTATATTAATTTTGATAGCTGCTCATCATTGGTATCGAATCGAAACGAATCAAAACGAATATTCCGATGGAGGAGTCGTCGCCGCCGTCACGCGATGATAAGCACAAAATCGAATTTTGTGCATGAGAAATTATTCATATTTCTATTATTATTATGATTACGATTATCTATCTATCTGTAGAGCGTAAAGGAGGGGTCGAAAAATTATGCTGGTCCGCTGGACCCATGTCGGTGGTGGGGGTAGATCTGTGTGTGAGATGCGGGACGGGACGGGACGGGAAGTGTGTGCTCGACCCTCGCGATGCTTATCGCCCGATCGACCGATGGGGTGGGCACTACTCTGTCCCAGAGTGTTGTCCACTTGTCCAAGAGATTCTTTTGCGCAAGAAGTTACAATAAATTGAGACTCTAAGCAGATCTATGCACTGGTCAGTACTGTCCACTTGCTAAAAATCGTTTCCCAGGGCTTTCTGGACTTATCAATGAAAGGAAGGAATGTGCCTGACTGACTCTCCACTTGATGGATGTGTGTGCTGTGGTTTTTTCAATGCTAATCGGATATGAATGACATACATACATATATCTCACTATGTATATCAGTGTGTGTTGTTTTCATTGGGTGTAGTGTTAGGATAAACAACAAAAATCCTAACCACAAAACAGAAACATAAAAAATTGATTTCGTTGGTGGCTTTTTTTCTGTTGTTATTTTTTTTTTTCATTTAGTGCATAAAATAAATACGTACATGTTGAAAATATGTGTCGATAAAGAATTTCTATAAATACATATGTACATATATGCAGATAACAAACAAACAAAAAAGAACAAAAAGAAACGGAAATCGAAACTGCGGTTGCAAAATGTTTAATATACATATACATTTTTTCTACTCTGTTTCCCTTCTCTAGTTTTCTTCTTTTTTTTTTTGTTTTTTTTGTGTGCGGTTCCGTATTTTGTTGCTTGTTTTTTGTTTGCCGCGTGATAAAAACAATCTTGTTTTTTTATTTTTGTATTTTTTTTTTTGGCCCACGAACGTGTCATTGGAGTTTCTGGGGAAACCAAGTCCAGATACATATAATATATATATTAGCCCACAAATCGAAGCGGAAGTTTTGCTATTTTGCTAATTTGTTGTTCTGCTTTTTTAAGCGTTTAATTTTTTTGTTTGTGTATGTTTTTGCGATGCTTAATTTTAGCCCTGGCCAAATGGAGGCGAGCACTTTGTCTATAAAAATGCACTTCTGCGAAAAAATAAACACATGCCTCATAGCCAAAACAAACGGAGAAGCCAGAAGCCAGACCAGACCAGAGAGATCCCCGTCTATAGCAGAGACTGCAGACTGGGGATCCGGCCAGATGGGAACCCCAAAGCGAACCGGGGGGGGTGGTGGTGGTGTGGCAGTGTGGCACTCTAGTGACTCTAACAACAAACAACTGTTGCAATTCCATTTAACATAATTTCTGTGGCAGCCAACGCCAGCCGCACAGCAAAGAAAAGCAAAGCAAAGCACATCACTGCACTGCACCTCACCGCTCTGCTGCCGCCTCTCCTCCGCAGCATCTCATTCCTGTCGATCATCTTTTTTGGACGCTCGAGGACACAGAAAATATTGTCGCATATTTATGAACATGTGTAACAGATAAATCTGAATCTGAATCTGTTGCTTATAGACAGACAAACACTCATGGATGCACTCACACTCGTACACCCGCTGATGCACTCACATAAGTGATTTAGTTGTCAGGCGAGTGCATTTATCACAGCCTGCATGTGAATGAGGGAGTGAATGTTGCTGCTGGTGTGGTTTGGGTGGGGATTGGACCTAGGACTAGGCCTAGGGCGAGGGCGAGGGGATGGATGCCAGAGGTGGCAGTGGCGGTGGCACTGCCAGGGGTTGGGGTCGGGGCGCCAGTAATCAAACTAATGAGCTTGGGCCCACCAGCAGGCAGGCAGGCAGGCTGGCGGGTAGGCAGGCAGGCAGGCAGGCAGGCAGGCAGCAGGAGCCAGCGACAGAGCGGCAAAAATAGCTTTTAATGGATTTCAAATAAGAAAACGCGCATAAAACGCAAACAAAACGCAGGCTAAAAGCAAAAGCCGCGTCACGAGTGGGGGTTGGGTTTTTGGGTGTCTGGCCAAGTGAAGTGATAAAACATTAAAGAAATGCTCTGCTGTGCTGCTGCTCGTCTTTGGAGGCTTTCGACTCGACTTTGGGCTTCTTCTTTTTCTTCTTCTAATTTGTGTTGCAGCAAACAACACCTAGGGGTTGCTAATGGAAGCTGCTGCCTGCTGCTGCTGCATTTAATGGCAAATGATAATGATTGATGCTGAAATGCATCCTCCTTCAGTTCAGCTCTTCCCTCAAATCCTCCTTCAAATCCGCACACAAAAAGCCACACAAAACACTTCAAGTCGAAGCTTTCTTTGGGGGGTGCAGCACGGCGAGGATGTGGGTTGTTGCTCTTTCAAGGCGATAAGCAATCATTCAATGCGGTGTGGCAAGTGCAACGCGCCGAAACGGGATGCCACACGTTTTGCATTAGAGAAATTAGAAGGAAACTCTGTCGGGGCGGGCGGCTGCTAGGGGTTGGAGTTTTGCAAAGGGAATGGGTGCATCCGGGGTAGGGAAGAGCTGTTATGAGATGGTTTCATTTTGGAGTGGTATCTTCTTGGTTAAAGCTAAAAAAAGGCTGCACTGAAAGTAGCATCAGGGAATGTCCAGAGTTGCATGGAATGCCCATGGCTGGATAGAATGTCCACGGTTGCGGGCAGAAATACAAAGGTGTCCGCTTATGGAAGGTGATTTTTCTGAGCTGCCATTGATACCCCTCATTCTGAACATTCTGTTCGTGCACCCAACACCCATTCTTATGGCATCCCTTGGGGGTCCATCCATCTAACACTCTTTGCCGCTGCTTTTCCCTCTCGTTCTCTGTTGCACTCACTTGCTGTCTCTCCTTCTCCCCCTCCACTCTTTCCGACAGTGTAAACAAAGGCATTCAACAAATTTGTAGGCGTAAAAATTGTCTTGTCAATATTTTAATGATATCACTTTACACCCAACCCACTCCTTCTATTGTCACTGGTCCTTCGTCCTTCGTCGTCCGTTTTTCTTGTCCATGTCCTACCCTATCCTATCCACTCTGGAACCCCCTCTATAGCCACCATCCGTCTCTTAAACCCTGTGAAAAAGTTTCGTTTTAACTTTTCTTTTTTTTGCCTTTTTTTTGTTTGTTGGTTTTTGACTCCCAGATCCACACGGACTGGCTGTATTTTTGCCCCTTGTTTTTTTTTCCTTCCTTTTCCTACTCTCTTTTTTTTGTTGCTCCTTCTCTGCTCTCTTCTGCTTGTTCTTGGGCGTGTAAAGAAGAAGTCAAAAGTCCCGTTACTTTTCTCTCTCTCTCTCTCTCTTCCTGTCCTCTGTTTCTCTGTCGCTCATTTGTTTGCCTTGTATTTTGGTTTTTTTTTGTTTTTCTTTTTTGTGTTTGGGTTTCAGTTTCGGTTTCTGTTTCTCTGTTTCTGTTTCTGTTTTGGGGGGCAACATTTTTACTGTTTGGCTAGAAAATTACAAGAAAAGTGTTCCACCCAAAGGGATGGGTGGGGGAGGGGGCCTGGTTTCCCTGAAGGGGGTGTTTGCTTATTTGTGCAAGTGTTTTCTCAATTGTGCGTGTTGGCTGGTCAGAGGGGGAGCAAGGCCAATGGAAAGAGAAATGGAAAGGGGAGAGAGAGGGTCAGTCGTGCGTCGTCGTCTGCGGTTGGAATTTCTTTCCCTTTATCCCCCCCCCCTTTTACACTTCTTCATTTTTGCATCCTTTTCCCTTCAGGAATTTTCCAGCTGTGGGCGGCAACGTTTGTCTAATCTTAACGGTTTTACATTTCATTGCGCTGGGTAATTGTCTGCAGTGGGTGGAGGAGGCGGAGGCGGATGATGATGGAGCGGGGGTGGTTGCATGGCACAGACGGACCTCTAGTTTATTAAATTAAAAAGTCACTTAAATTCGCTCTGTGAGCGGAGCGGGGAGGGGGTTCCATGGTATAGCCATGCCAGAGGAAGGATTATGGCTGCAGTTTCAGGCAGATCCCTGGGGTTGAATGTGGTTCCAGTATAGTAGGATGAAGTCGCATCGTTTCCCTCAAAATGAAGGCATCCTTTCACTTATGGGCACTTTAAACAGTGCATCAATTTGGAACAGTGGAACTGGAACAGGTTTATAAGCCCACAATGCGTCATTCCTAAGTCAAATATATATCTTTTATCATATGAAAGCCTAACCTAGATCTTAAAGCCACTTCATGGACTTCAGCTTGTTAAAATCTTTCAAATCTTTCAATAAAATATCTTTTTTGTCATTTAACGTGTCGCGCGTCATGCAGTATTACCCCTCGGTTGGGATCTCTGCGTGAAACGAAGCTTCGTCTTGCTGTCATTTAGGTTTGAGATGAAAACTCAGCAGAAAGAAGATGCCAGAGGACTGACAACTTGCCAATAATATAAATATGGGACTTAATATAATTTAGGGGACTATAGCTTACCTCTTTGTCTTTGGCAGCTATTTGTACAGCGGGCTGATTGTTGCTGTTGCTGTTTGTTTTGTTGTTGCGCTTCTTGCGCTTCTCGTTGTTGTTGTTGTTGCTGCTTCCCCCATTGTTTTTGTTGTTGTTGTTGTTGCTGGTATTGGTATTGTTATTGGTACAGTCATCATCCTCGGCACTATGAACCGATGTGGCCACATGTGGATCATCCATATCATCATTGCTATCACGCAGTGCCACACCAGTGCCGACGCTGTTGTTGCTGCTGTTCTTTCGACTACAACTATTATTGCTATCGGTATTGTGATTATTGCTAACATTTAAACTAGCTTCCATATCATCTGCAACTGGATCTGAATCTGGATCGGTGGCAGACGCAACAGCCGCTACAGCAGACGCCTCCTCCAGATCTCCTGCATCGCCAGCCACATGCCTCTGACGCTGCTGCTGCTGCTGTTGTTGTTGGTGTGGTTCAGTTCTTGCCGCAGACTCGATGGCCTCCAGGGACTGATGGGGCTCCAGCTCCATGTCATCGTCATCATCGTCCAAATGCGCTGCATTCGACTGCATGGAGGCGTTCTCCTCCTCATCGTCCTCATCGTCTTCGTCGTCCTGCTCCTCGTCCTCGTTGTGGTGGAGGCTGCCACGGCTTCTGCTGCCGCTGCTATTGGTGGTGTTGCTGCTGCTGCTGGTGGTGGTGGCTGTGTGGGTGGTGGTTGCAGTGGCCTCGGCCACTGTTTGATGATCTGTGGGTCCCACAGCCGCCGCTGCGGCTGCTGCCTCTGCTGCTGGCGAATGCAGGGGCGAATGCTGATGCTGCTGCTGCTGTTGGACAGCCGCCGCCGCCGCTGCTGCTGCGGCAGCTGCCGCCGCTTCCATCATCATTTGCTGGGCGTGATTAAAGAAGAGCTTCGGATTGAGGCAGGCGCCGCCGACACCACCACCGTTCTGCTGCAGACTGCTCTGCAACTGTTGCTGCTGCTCGGCGCTGAGCAACGGCGGCGAGGGCGACGGCGTATTGGTGTTGGCCAGCAGATTGCCGCCGTTCTGCTGCAGCGTGATGGCCGCTGCAACAATGGAGCTATTCAGTTGATGTCCAGATCCAGATCCTCCGCCACCGCTGGCCAGTTCCAGATCCGAATCGTCGATCTCCTGCACTCCTGCTTCCCCTTCTGCTGCTGCTGCTCCTCCGCCTGCTGCTGCTCCTGTGTTGTGGTTGTGGTTGTCGCTGTCGCTGTGGATGCTGCCGCTGGCGGGATCCGTATTGCTGGTGGACAGTTGCTCCTTGAGTGTGTTCACTTCCTTCTCGGCAAGGGTAGCGCGCTGCAAAGAACAGAGAGGGGGGAGAGGGGATGCGGAGATTAGTTATGGAGCTGCCACACATATGTTGTTGCACGAAACGATTGGGCAAAAAGTTTCACCGTACGTACAACTATCGACCCTCATTAATTTTACTTTTAAAGTCATTACGGGTTAAATTTAGCCAAATTAATACGTTGCAAAAACTTTTGTTTCAAGCCCCAAAAAGTGGCAAAAAAAAAAAGGACACACACACAACACAAACATACACACTCCAAGGACTCAGACGGAAGGGAGGCTTAAAAAACATTCCATGGGTAATGCCGTCTGCATTAGCAACCCAAAAAACAAGCAGCAGGAGCTCCAGAAAACAGGAGGACTAGGAAAAGCGGAAGGAACAGAAACAGAAACAGGAGCTCCAGAAAACAGGACCAAGAGAAGCAACAAATTTATAGTTTATCGCTTCGTATCGATAAGCCTTTGGAACTTGAACATTAGAACAGGAGACCTGACCTTCAATGCGGCAAGGGAAGGAGGGGAGGAGGGGTACCATTGGCATTAAAGATTCACGGGGAAAGGGAAGGAAATCCTTTGCCATCAAGGATACTCGCAGAAGCAATCGAAAATTAAAAAAAAAAAAAAAAAAAATCACAGTTGAAAAGAAAGAGGGAGGGAGGAAGGTTACAAAAATATGCGGTGTAAACTTTTTTGGCAAATTAGTCTGGGATTCCAGGACCCTCCCCTCCCCCTCCCTCCCACCACACCATACCCGACAAGTTTTAAGGCTTCCTCCAGGGCTGGGCAGGGCAGACCCCAAAGCCAGAATCTAAGCCCCACAAATGGCAATGACTTTTACGGCTCTTTGGCTTCGATTTTCATGTTGATTTGTACTTGTTGTTGCTGTTGGGCCCCACATACCCCACATTCGAATGGGCCCTGGAGTTGGGGTTAGGTTGGGGTTTTTGTGCAATTTTATTTGTATAAATACCGGAAGCTAACAAAAAACAAACCAACATAGGATGGGCGAGCGGCGGGGTAGGGACAGTTTTTGGGGTCTAACAGGGCGTTGCAGGCAATAAAGAACTTTGGAAATTAGTCGATGGCAGCCCATCCCGCCACAAAATGCTGTCTCTTGCAACTCTGGCACTGCTACTGGCACTGGCACTGCCACAGCGGTTCTTTGGGCACAAGTTCTATTCCATATCGATGAAGAAGTTAAGCAGGAAGTCGTTACATAGAAAAGGGTGTAAGGACCTCACTATTTTTGGGACTGGGGCTGTAAGGATAGTCATTCCCATTCCCCATTCCCTGTAATCGTTTTGCAGTTAGAGTTGGAAGAGGAAATCTAATGCCGATTCTTGACTGCCTTTTAAGGGCTATTTCTAAGCTAGAAACGTAGAATTCTACGCCCAATATTTTCTTAGACTTCTTCGCGCCCAGCTGCACCCATCGCTTCCATGTTGATGCTCGAGACGCACAAGCGAAAGCTGCCAAAGAGAATACACGAGAATCGCGAAAACAACATGCATGTTGTGTGCATATTTGAGGATATTGATCCTAGAGTTAAGCAAAATTAAAAAAAAAAACCCTGCTCAGCGCTCCCACCCAAACAATCGATGCACTTGTGGCGGTGGGTGGCTGGGAAGGGGGTTTTGTCCTATCGCTTAATGACAATATCCCTGGGAAAAGCAAATCATTTTTCTTATGCCCTTCCAGGCATGTATTTGTCATCGTCATCATCATTATGTCGGTGGGCTGTGGGTGGGAGTGATTCTCTGCGGAGTGCAAATATATATTTATGATATTTAAAAGCTCTTAAGTACAAACAACAGACACAAGCGGTTGCCTCTCATGGAAGCTGCTGCATTTTCGTGTCCTTTCAAATGCCAGACATTCGAGAACCCAGACAACAGACAGCAGACTGGGAAGAGACAGGACACCCGGGCCCTGGGCCTGTGAATGTGCCTGTGGTTGGGCATGGGCATGGGCATGGGCATGGGCATGGGGTTTCCTTCCCGGTGGTTGTAGCAGTTCTGGGCTTGTTTGTTTGTTGCCATTCCATGAGCTGCTTAAGCTTGAAAATTGTTTTCATAATGGCTGATGATGACTACGACGAAGCGAAGGATACTTTTTCACATTTCTTTTGGGTTGACTTTTTGCCCGTAGAGGAATCGATCAATGGCTGTCCAACTGCGTGGTTGAGGCGACGACTCTCAAACTGCGGGTCGGTCCTGGGCCCTGGCCCAAGCCCTGGCCCTGGCCTCAAATGAAATGCAATCCCCGTGGGAATGCCAACACTTGTTCTGGACATTCCGTCTCTTGGAAAATAGTTCGCTCTCTTGTCTGGGAGCCACTCGTTTCTCTTTATCTCTGTTTTTTTTTTTTTGGCAAATCAATTAATGGAAACTTTGGTGAAAGGTTTGCAGGAGGCAGGAGCTCTCCTTTGTGTGCCCCGAATTCGAGAGGTCCGTTCGGCTTAGCAGTCAGTACGGCCAACCAAATGAGTTAATTAACTAAAATGCGGGTGGCTTTGGCTCAAACCGAACCGAACCGAACCAAACCGTTGCGTTCCGTTCTTTTTTTGTATTTTTTTGTATTTTGGGGCTCACTTCAATGGCTCTCGTGCTCCATGCCCCATGACCCATGCCTCGTGTGTGTGGTCAGCTTATGGCAGTAAAGGCTTTCCCCGTATTGAGCACCCTTTTAGCGTCCACTCCTGGAGCATTTTTTGTTGGGTTTCATTTAATATTTTTTGGCCTGGTTGCCACTTCAAAGGAGCGGCACACACACACACACACACACACGCACACACAAAAATCTCTCGCGCGCACAAACCCAAAAAATGTTAAGTGAAATGCTGGGACGCCTGGCCCACCCCACCCCATCGGCACGCTAGCTAACCGCCAGTTAGCATTACTTTAACTGGCAGTAAGAGTAAATGCCAGAGATCTTTCAATGGGAATTGTATCAACTATTGGCTCTGGCAACGGGAGACTCTCCCGGTTTGCTGTTGCTAGTTCCTTTTTTTTTATATTTTTTTGTGCTGTGTTGTTGCTGTCGTCGAGCTGTTTGTCGTGTGCTTGGCACATGTCAACTCTTGCGCTGCCTCTCTGCACTGCCCCTTTCCACATGTGGAGTTGCAGCATGCGGCATTGTCTCAAGCTGTTTGTCTGAAGTGAGTTTTCTGTCGTGTGTGTGTACGTGGCTGCCTCAAGACTCGCGCGCGCGTTAGCTCAGGGGCGACTCCAGGACTCCAGGAGCTTGAACTTCCAGCAGCAGTAGCAGCAGCTGTCAGGACTTCAGGGGGTAGAGCACTTTTTGTAATTAGTACGAAGGCAATGTTATGAATTGTGTGCTTCAGCTTAAGCTCTCGAGTGCCTCAGCGAGCCTTCTTGTTGCCGCAGGGGCAACCCCTTTTTCAGTTTGTGTGTGTGTTTTTTTTTCTTTTCTGTTTCACTGTGCAGCAGCAACATTCGAAGGGGTAACGGCGGCAAAGACGATTGCAGTGCATTGTGCGGTTTTTGGACAATAAATCAAAGCAAATCAATGCTGCAACAAATGATGTTGATGCAGCCAGGGGTTGTGTGTTTGATATGACAGGGGGCTGGATGGGGGGGGGTTTACTCCCTTTGAAGCGCAGTGGCGGTGGCAGTGTGGGGTTTTGGGTTTCCCCTGCAATGCCACTTGAACGCCTACATGACATGACATGATGGGACATGGAAGGAAGGAAGGGGTTGGTTTGGCCCCAATCGCAAGGGGGGTGTGGGAAGCATTTTCACAATTACACACACATTAAAGCGGGGGCCCCAAAAGAATAAGAAAATGCCAGAGAGCAAGAAAGGAAAAAAATATAAAGAAAGAGCACAGCACAAGCGTGGAAGGGCAGCAGGAGGAAAGTGTTTAAAAGTTAAGGGTTGGGGGGGGTGACAGAAGGGGTTTCAATATGGCCATGTGTGCGTGTGTGTATGTGTATGAAAAATCTGTAGCCCTGACATTAGGCGCATAGACAAAGCCGTGGCATGGCCCACCGTTTAAGTGGCATGAGGGAGGGAGGTGAGCTGTGTGTGTGTGAGTGTGTGTGGCAGAAGAGCTTATGTCCCTGACAGCAACAACAAATGCAAAGAGTAGAAGGATATATATCTTTATGTTTGTGAAGAATACACATAGATACGCAAATGACAGCTGAGTGGAATGAGAGAGAACATGAGGAATGAAGATATGAAAAAGAAGAGAGAGTGAGAGAGAGAGAGAGAGAGGAAGAGAGCAGCCATAAGATGGGAGCAGGGGGAGCGAGCACAAAACAGATACAGAGCCGATATAATTGATATAAAAAACGAATGAATGAGAGCAATCATTTATCGATACCTATCGATAATTATCGATTAATTAGCGATTATTATAGATTACTATCATCTATCTATTATTTAGTTTGTATCTATCCATCTATCGTTGTTTTGTTTCCTTAATTACTATTATCAATATTTATCGATAATTACATAATGGTAATAATTTATCTATTTACATGTGTATGTATCAAATTCATAAGCATTATTTATTTATTATGCATCAAATCATCTTTCTATTGTTTCTGTAACTATTATTTATTTTTATCAACATTTATTGCTTCTGTATCGATAAATATTCAAGATATAAATTAATTTCACTCGTTTACTGATAATTTTCGCTTGGATTTTGGGCGAAAAAGCACAGGAATGCCACAAGGCATATGCACTTTGTGAATCTCCTACCGCTAGGACCGTTCCATTGAAGCTCCCATTCCACCACTTGATTAATAATCCCCTCCCTGCATTGCATATTTACTGGTAAGCTGCTCAACTGTTATCCATTAATTACTGTTCCTCCTGCAGCTGCTGCTGCTACTCCCCCAACTGCTGCTGTTGCTGCTTCTTCTGCACTTAATACGAATCCTTCTCTGAAAGTGCGCTCCCTGCCCCATGTCCCCCATGTCCCCCATGCCAGCGTATTATTCTTTGGATTCGGGGCATGCCTTTGCATTTGCTTTA